GAGTCAGCTCTCCACGTTGGTCCTACGTTTGTGCTCTAGACTCCATATCTTCAATGCCTGAAAGTCAGCATGACATCTACCCCTGGAGCCTCCAAGCTGGCAATGGGCTCATCTGAGCATTTTATTCCCCTGTCTCGCAGTCCCTCCACTTCCACCAGGTTGTGCTACTGCCCAGTCACTGGTGCATCCAGCCGCCCTCTCAGGGGAGGGTCCCAGGGTCTTGACTACCCTTCCCACTCAAGCCATATGCAGCAGTACCTCATCAAAAGAACTTGGGAAACACTAGGTTAAAGAAAATTACACAGGTTTCTTTACTTAAGCACCTCTTGGGGCCTTTGATATGCTATAAATTTCCAAGAAGGGCCTGCCTTAATTTCCCAAACACTTTTAGGAACAGAATTGGGAAGTGATGGCAAATCTGATCTCCCATCTACAAATACCTACATTCTGGAAGGCTGAACACCTTTTCTAGAGCTGTCTATACCTCTGACTGGACCAGGGAATACCTGGATGCTCCTTGCTCTGACAGGCTCAAGATTTCTCATCTTGGCTTCCATGTTCTATCCCGATGGTTCCTTTTAATCATAGTCTGAAAGTAGATGTGGGTCTAGAATTAGAATCCAGTTCTCTCACATGTAAAGCAAGCTCTCTGAGAAAGAAATTTCCAGAGATATTGGTGGACTTGAGTTAATAATCCGTAATAGTCTTAAGTCTTTTTTTTTTTCTCACTCTGTCTCCCAGATTGGAGTGCAGTGGCACGCTCCCAGCCACCACAGCCTCGACCTGCTGGGCTCCGGTGATCCTTCCGCCTCAGCCTTCCAAGTAGCCAGAACTACAGGCGTGTGCCACCATGCCTAGCTTTTTTTTTTTTTATTGTAGAGAGGAGGTCTTGTCAAGTTGCCTGGGTGGGTCTCGAACACATGGGCTCAGGCAATCCACTCGCCTCAGCCTCCCAAAGTGATGGGATTACAGGCTGAGCCACTGAGCCCGGCTGATAGTCTTAAGTCTTCATAGTCACCAGTTACATTTTAATTTGAACTGGTCTTAGAATGAGACTTGATCAGAACACTAACCCACTCTGAATTTTTATTTTTAATGTTGAGTTGATCTGTATCTTGAGTTTTGGTACCTGAATCTTAAAAGCAGCTTGTTACTACCAGCCCTGCCACCTTTCCAAGACAGCCCTGTTCAACTCCACCGGGTTCACACATGCAACTGCTTAGACCTTCCTCTCTGCCTCATAGGCCAAGATGCACTCCCCTTACTCCAAATCCTCCTGGATATTCCACTCCACTGGTAGAAACAGTGAGCCCACAGTCCCAAAACCTTCATGCACAAGCCACAAGTCTGCCTTGCTCTTCACCACTAGAAAGGAGCAGTTTCCCATGTTGCTGTTGTTTTTTGGTTTTTTTTTTTGGAAAAAACAGTTTCACATTTTTTTAGTAAAATTTCTTTCTCTTTTGTTTTCTAAATACTTATTAAAGAAATATGAAAGATGCAGAAAGACTAAAAGAAGGAAAAAAATCACCCATAATCCCACCACAGAGGGAACGCCACTATTAACATTTGGGCTATTTCCTTATACTCTCTCCTAAAGAATAAAGAAATCTTTATCCTCCCCACAGGAATCCAGCTGCCAGTTCTTAGGTGTTGCTTGAAAGATTAAAAATGCTAGTACTTAAGGTGGCCTCAAGCAACATTCGACTCATACAACTTATTTCTTGTATGTCAAATCTCTTCTAGAAGTAAGAATTTCAAACCATTTTATACAGAAAAATGAGTTTTAAAATGTTTTATCTTGTGCACTAATTGCCACAGCATTTGCTTCACATACTTCTAGTTAATACAGTTTACATCCTTGGCTCTGTCACCAACCCAGCGAGCAGCCCTGGTCCCTGATGCCCCAGGTTGGTTGTCCAGTCACATCCCAGTCAGTTAAAATTAAGTGATAATCATTGGAAAAGGGTGTCAAATGCAGCAGGGACAAAACTATCAAAGTAATACTATAGCTAGTTTAAATCGTCTCTTTTTATTTTATTTTATTTTTTCAAATTTTATTATAGAGATGTTGGGTACAAGACAGGATTAGCTATACAAGTAGCCTTCGTGCAGGTGAAGTTTAGGCCTCCAACTGGTCCTCACTTCCCCTGGTTTGGGGACAGGTACCCTTTGTGTTGTTAAAATGTCTCTTTAAATGAAATAAACTTTTGTGTCTTCTTCTTTCCCAATTGATGTATACACTCAATAATTAAGAAGTGTTTATTAAGTGCATGCCACGGTTTCTGCTCGGCAAGGTGAGAGGGCACAGAGCATCTGCAGCAATTCAAAAAAGTGGACAGCAAGTTGACACACACTGAAAACACAACAGGCTTTCAGGATTTGTATGGAATGGGAAGGCCAAGAGAAGAATGGGAAGAAGAAAGCACCTGGCAGAGGTTAGGGACTGGAATTAGCGTGGTCGACATTTCTGAGGTGCCAACTCTAAAAGAGCTGAGAGGGGCTTACAAGTGTCTCTGGCAACAAGAAATGCTGCCCTGAGGAAACGCCCTGAACTTGGTTTTGCAGGAAAGAGGAGGAAGGGCATTCCAAACATGGAGACCAGCCAGGGCAGAGGCATGGCCAACTGTGTACAGCCACAAAGCCATTCACAGAACTGCTCAAGATGACCCTAGCCCAGGATATGGGGAGGGGACAGTGCAACCCTGAAGGAACAGGAGCCAGTGGCCAGTGTGAGTCCTGGTGCAGAATTGATGGATGTGGACCCCTCCAACCACATGCTAGGATAGCGGCTATGCCATGAACGGAAGTTTCTGGAATTGCAGAGAGATATGAGACCTTGCTTCTGACCTTAATGGACTCACAGGCTGGTTGAGGGGACAAGAAGCAAACTTGGGATCCCTCAAAATGTTACCTTCTCAGAGTTTAGGCTCTCCACTGCAATCTCCCCGCCCAATGGCGAGAGGAGGCTAAACAGAGGACTGATGTGTTGAGATGCTCAGAACACTACCGCCCATGTCTCCTATAGTATCTCGACACCTCCTGCTTTCCTTGCCCGTGAATTCTCTCACGGGAGTAAAAGCACCCCTCTCTCCCACCTGTACTCTCTCAAGAAAATGAAGCAGGAGTGAGGCCTGGCCTCATTCAAGCTGGTGGCAGCTTGGTGGCTGCCTAGAGTGTCTCCTGGAAGAGGAGGGTCGAGAGTCCAAGGGTGGTTTCCTCTGTGCCAGGTCAAGGGGTGGACCCCAGACCATCAAAGCCATGACCGTGGCTGCTCTCTCCTGCTGCCTCTGCCCCTCCAGCATTATTCTCTTCAGACATTTGGCTCAAGCCCAGAACTCCCATGTCTCCCCTGCCTTGGGCACCAGATCCAGACCTCCTACTCCCTGACCTCGTACCAGAGCCGCCCACCGGTCAGGGCATCCATGAACAGATCAATACATATTTTTGTTACAACAAAGGGAAGTCAGCTCTCACTTCCTCTTCACCACATCTGCTTTGTGCACTTATCTTAATCTCTGCATCTCTGAACCAGGTTATTAACATGGCCCGGAGAAGAGATGGCAAACATTCAGCTGCCTTGCTAAATGGGGCAGTGTTCCTTCATTCATTCATCAAGCATTCATTGAGCTCATACTATATGTCAGGTACTGAGCTGGGAGCTCAGGCACAACAAAGATGTGAACAAAGTGTGGAAAAGTGTACCATTGAGAACCACAGTCATAGCAAAGCTGCTGATGAGATTAATATTCATAAGCATATTCATAAGAAATTAAAAATCAACGTCAACCACTAAAGACTTATTTTCCTCTTCTTTTTTGGCTGGGCGTCCCTGAGCAAAGAAACACACCGAGATGGATTGCGGGGGGCTACCATTTGCTCTTGGTTTTGCATGTGGCTAGTTTTGATACAAGATAAGCTACACTTAGATAGAAAAGTCCAAAAAAATAATTCAACCAGTTAAAAAGCAAAACAGCACTGGGACTGAGTCTGGGTTTCAGAGCCAATTTCCAAGAAGTAATTTCATCATCATAGAACATCAAACGTGAATTCCACTTTCAGCTATGCAAATTCCAAAAGAATAATACCTCACATTTGCATAATGCTTGATGCTTTTCAAAGTGCTTTCCCAGTTATTAATCTAGAGGAGGCTTTATTATCACCAAAAACATAAATTAAAATTCTGTTCAAGCTCGAGTTCTCCATTTTTTTTTCTACTTTCCCCTCAAAAGCCAGAGCCCTCTAAATCCAGGTGCTTTTGATTGAGTGGGTACCTCTAACAAGTCCAACTAACAGGGTGAAAATGCATCAACATAGTATATTGTGAGGCCATCGGTCTGCAGACACCAGAGTCAGGCCCAAGAAAATCTGCTGTCAGATCAACAAAACCACAGGGAACAACTTGGAGTTCAAGTTTGAGATTATTTCAGGGTCCCAAAATTTGTGGGAGCTGCATGTACCACATCCCCTGGAATCCATTCCCTTCTAAAAGACATTGGAACATTAAGAAATTAGATCTACCACTTTGTCCTTAAGCCTGCAGAAATCTCTGTCAATGACTTCCCGTAAAGTGGCGCACAGCTCCTAGTCTTGTTTTGCTTTGAATGTAATATGAACCAAGAGGCTGAGTTCACTGTAAATCCAACAAAGACAGAGAATTTTAGAAAAATGAGGTGAGGAGATATGACGGGGTGTGAGGAAATACTTCCACCCCAACCTAATGCCTTTCCAATTTGTTTCTTTTTCCATCTCTTTCAAACTTAATTATGTGTGGTGTTCTCAGTCACTGAATCACCAGCCTTTCCTGACACTTCAATCTTATGCATTTTAGCAAAAGATTAACCTGGCTGTTTGCTTTTAATTCTGAAACTGTGTTAATACTCAACTCCCTCTAGATTAGAAAGGAAGAAAAACACACTCCCACGTACCCCACCATGGCACCAGCAAGGCTCCAGGGCTGACATTGCTGCCGAAGTCACAGTCCCAGGGCTGGCTGCACTTACCATTTCAGGAGGGCCAAGAGAACCACGGACAGAGCCACAGTGACCATGGGGCCATTCACTTCCAATTTTAGAAACCCTGGGACATCCATTGTTCCTCTGAGACCCCAGGGCAGTGGTCGTAGTCCAGATGAAAAAGGGGGGCTGATCCTGCTACCCTTAAAGGAACCTTGATCTTCAGGTGGAGGAAGGACCAGGCAACCAAGGAAGTGTCGCATCCAGTGGGTCCCAAAATGTGCTCTTTCTCACAGTGTCTCCTTAGAAAGAGGAAGGAAGAGGAGACAAAACAAAGGGTTTCAGTGTAAGGCAATGAATCAGCAACTTTATTGCTGATGACTGCACTGTCAATAAACATTTATGTTAACTTCCCTGGGAAGCATCAGCGGACGGGCCCCATGTTTGCTGGGAAACAAAATGGTTGTAATCAGAAATTTCTGCTGTCACAAGTAGTCCTTGAAGATTCTCCTCCAAAATGTATATCTGTATCTGCAATTTAAAAAATTTGTAATAAGGTAAAGAGAAGAGCCAGGGGACTCTGAGTATCTCCAAAAGATTGGGGGCCAGACATCAGCCTGATGAAAAATGCTGGCAACTTTGATGATGGCCACAAAGTCCATCTGTGCCTGAGTCTCATAGCCAGCTTTGGAACAAACCAAAGATCTCACCTTGAGTCAGTACACTCATCATGAGTTGGAGGATGTCTCAGCTGTCTGAAGCATATCCGTAGGTTCATGGGTGCGTCCTTTGCTCTGGTTCTGAGCTTATCTGTCTACAGGAGATTTGCTCATTTTGTGCTGGGTGGTCACACCTTTAGTGATGGAAAAGGTATATCAGAGAGGGACACCCCCCGAAATCCAGCATGAATGCGGCCGGGCTCCAAGCTGAGTTCATAAATAGTGTCAGTACTGAGTTCTGGAGAATTTTCTTTGGAGAGAGGACAATTGGCAGACATGCATACAGAAGTCATCACAAGCTAAGAACATGCTGGGATGGCCATGAAGATGGGCTTCCATGAGGATAAGTAGGATGGGCCCTGAGACAATACAGCAGAGGATGTCTGTCTGAGAGGAAATATTGAAGCGGAGACACACTGGGGGAGGGTGTTCACCCCCTGAAAAGACACAGGCCAAGCCTTCAGGACAAAAAGGCTGGATGGATGAAGCCCTACAGCAGAACAGGACCCACATGGTGGCAGGCACTCTGAAGAGGCCAGTGTGCTGGAGCAAGAGGGCCAGCTGGGGAAGGTGGAAGAAAAACAGGTATCAGGCCGGGTTGTGCAGAACCATGGTGGCATGCAGGGCTTCCCTTTCTGTGCCACTGCAGGGTTTTAGGATGGTCCCATTTATGCTTGCTAAAGATAGTGCTGGTTGTAGGTTCAGAATTCACTGGAAAGGAGTGAGAGAAAAAGCACGTAGAAGACTATTGACTGCCTTCAACCAGAGATGAGGATTCTTGGGTGAGGGGAGGGATGGGACACGGGAGGCGGAGATGGACTTGAAGTATATTCTGGGAGGTAGGCTCCTCAGAAGTTCCTGGTGGGCTGGATGTAAAAGAGGAAGAAGAGACCATGTCTGACTCCCAGGCTCCTGATCTGAGCTGCAGGTGTATAGGGTGCCATTCACTGAGATGCAGGAAGATGGAGGACAAGCAAGCATTTGAGGAAAATCAATAATTCTGATTTAGTCCTGTTACACCCGAGAGACTCGGGAGACATCTGAGTGGAACTGTCAAACCAGAAAGGACGCTCAGCTGAAAATATCAATGATAATAACGGATAACAATAATACCATTTGCAGCGAAGTCACTAAGTAGTAGTTCATATTCTAAGAGCTCTCAAATGTGTCAACCCATTTAATCCTCATAAACAAGCCTAGGAGGTAAAGCTTGTGGTTAACTCCATTTTACAGAAGCAGAAACTGAGGCATGGGCTCTTTACTCCAAAGCCCATTTTCTTCATCAAAAGATTATACTCAAATGTGGAAGTCATCAACATACTTTTGGTATTTACATCCAGAGGAATTGACATGTCACAACCACAAATAAGACAGTGAAATACACAAGTCCTAAGTAACTCCCACATCTCTTCCCTTCCCTCAGACCACTGGCCCTGCCTCCCTGCTTCTTATTCATGCTTGCAATTGGGGAACTACAGCATCCAATCCAGACCCTGGTGTCCCTGGGCGAGTCCAGCATCATCAGGCTTCCCCTCCCCTACCTGTAGGTTACCTCTCCTCCATCTCGTTTGACTGGTACCTGTGGGGAGATGCTACCAGGTCTGTGTGTCCTTTCTCACAAAACAGTGGTTTGTACTCCCAGGTACCATATGAAATACTCCTTCAGTGGCAGGAACTCTGTGCAGGACCGACAGCAAGGTGACGTGGGGAAGGGTGGGGGGCAGAGATAGCAAGCTCATCATGGCTGCAGACTCAGAGAGTGAGAAATGACCTCTGATGTGACTTAGTTCAGTGAATGTATGACAAAGATACTCAGAAAAAAAAAACATTTTAAAGGGTTCCAATGTAAAATCAACATTAGGAATGCTGGTACAAGCATCGATAAGCAAGGTTATTTCCTGCCAGACCTCAGTGACTCAAACCTGCCAATTTGCACTGAGAATTGGCAAGGGTGGGATGTGGGAGCTGCACTTCCCAGGTATATTTGACCACAGCATCTTTCTCAGGGACATTTATCAACATATCCCAATATCATCTTCTAAGGAAAGTGCTTTGAGAAACATTGGCCAAGACTCACTCTTACTTACAGGGGAAGAAAAGGAGACCCAGAAAGGGAAAGTGACTGGAGCAAGGACACACAGCTATCTTGTATTGGAACTCCTCCTCGGACTCTCTATGGCAGGGGTCCTCAAACTTTTAAAACAGGGGGCCAGTTCACTGTCCCTCAGACCGTTGGAGGGCGGACTATAGTTTAAAAA